GAGGTTAGCATCGGGAGTCCTGTGTGACAAGAGAGTGCCACCGATACTCAAAGGTAAGTTTTATAAAGCGGTGGTTAGACCGGCCATGATGTATGGGGCTGAGTGTTGGCCCGTTAAGAACTCACATATCCAGAAGATGAAAGTAGCAGAAATGAAGATGTTGTGGTGGATGTGCGGGCACACTAGGATAGATAAGGAATGATGATATTCGGGAGAAGGTGCATGTAGCTCCCATCGATGACAAGATGCGGGAAGCGAGGCTTAGATGGTTCGGACATGTTCAGAGGAGAAGCCCAGATGCTCCGGTACGGAGGTGTGAGCAGTTGGTTACGGAGGGCACGAGAAGAGGTAGATGGCGGCCTAAGAAGTATTGGGGAGAGGTGATTAGGCAGGATATGGCGAGGTTCCAGATTTCCGAGGACATGACACTTGATAGGAAGATATGAAGGTCGAGTATTAAGGTTGTAGGTTAGGAGGTAGTTCAGTTGTGCCTTACTTCGTAATATGGTGGGACTAGCCATGTAGGGTTTTTGTCTAAGATAACTAGTGGGAATGTTGTGGCGTACTAGTTCGCTTTTCAGTGCAGGTCCTATTTACTAGCTATCGCTTTTGCTTTACATATTTCTTCTCGATTTCATGGTGTTCCTATTTTTCTTATGACTGTTATGGTGATACTAATATTTACTAATATTGTCTCCCGTTCTTTACATCTTTTTTTCTGGATTTCATGGTGTTCCTATTTATCTTATGATTGTTGTTGTGATACTAATATTGTCTCCCTTTTTGCCTTTTTTTTTTTGAGCCGAGGGACTTTCGGAAACAGCCTCTCTACTCCTTCGGGGTAGGGGTAAGGTCTGCGTACACACTACCCTCCCAGACCCCATTAGTGGGATTTTACTGGGTTGTTGTTGTTGTTGTATTTATATATTTTCTCAATTTGTACCGAATTATACCACGTATCCTTATAATCACGTATAAATTCAAATGTTATCCGTTTTTCGGGTAAACAGTTTGGCGCCGACCGTGGAGCTAATGAAAATAGTGGTTATTTGATACAAATCACTGTAAAACGGATAATTTTACGCTTGCTCTTCGATGTATCTTTGATTTCAGGTAAAAAATGACGAACTCTCAATTAGTGCCCTTACATATCTACAACGAATCTAGTCATCAAGATGAGAATAACAACGTGACGCCCGGGGATGAAAGGCCACCCGATGACCCGTTGGGACTCGGGCTGTGGATCCAATTGACATTAATTCGCATGTGGCCATCGAAGCGAACCAACATTCTGGTCCCGAAAATTTCATTCATGGCGGAACCCGATCTGCAGTTCGAAATACCCAAAATATTGGAGAAGATGGGAACAACATGCGTATGATCTTCGAAATGCTGCAAGCTCAACAGGTGGCGATAGCTTAGTTGCAGAGCCAAACCCAGGCGCTGAGCAGGCCTGAGCCCAGTCCACTCCAAAAAGTCACCCACAGAACGGAGCCAACTGTAGTAAGGTCAAATGAGCAAGAATCAGGGACTAACCCCGAAATTATAAAGATGCTCGAGGAACTGACAAAGCGGATAGAGTTAGGGGAAAAAAGGATCGAAGTAAATAACAAGAAAGTGGAAACTTATAACTCCAGGGTTGATCAGATCCCGGGGACACCACCAATATTGAAGGGTTTGGATTCCAAAAGGTTTGTACAAAAGCCTTTCCCCCCGAGCGAAGCTCCCAAACCGATCCCTAAAATATTTCGCAAGCCCGAGATTCCTAAGTATAATGGAACGACCGACCCCAACGAGCATGTCACCTCTTACACGTGTGCCATTAAAGGGAATGATCTAGAGGACGATAAGATAGAATCCGTATTACTAAAGAAATTTGGGGAAACCCTGTCAAAATGAGCAATGATATGGTATCATAATTTACCACCTAACTCTATCGATTCTTTTGCCATGCTTCCAGATTCTTTTGTGAAAGCACATGCCGGAGTCATAAAGGTCGAGACC